GAGGGGTGGGATTCAAAGAGTAGTTTAGTCTCCGTTTCGCACGTGCCCTTAGACGGAGACTAAACGAAAGGATATCCTCTCCCTGTGCTCATCAGTAAGGGAAGAGAGGATCAAAGAATTTTTTCATGATATTATTTGAATTCAATTAATATCGAACTGCAATTTGTAATGATATGAAAACAACTTTTTGTGAAAATGTTTGGTTTAGTTTTTACTAACAAAAACAAAGCGTTTGTAATTAATATGATTAAATGAACATAAAGCAAAAACAAAGTGTTTGAAATTACTATGATTAAATGAGCATAAAGCAAAGCGTGTTTCAATAAAAAAAGTGAAAGAATTCATTTACTACTTGACATTAATGTAAAGAAATGTACTCACTAATTATTTTCTGCCTCCCTTCATAATTGGGCTGTTTCCAAATCCATTATTGAAAGAATCAACACTACTTCTGCATCGTTTGTTGTTAAATTTACTCCTGTAGGTGGCGCTATTATCAAAGAAACGCTGAATTCTGCTAGAACTCGTTGCTTCGACCGGGGCTCAAACCCTTCTCCGGGATAAGAATCTCAGCTGACACAGTGTCATCCCGTTACTGAGCATTTTTGGAAAGATTCTCTTCTACATTTTCAAAGATTCATTTTGGTTTTTAGGGCTATATTAAACTTCCTACGTTTATGGCCGCCGTGGCTTGTAAACTGCGGGCGTGTGTGCCCATTAGATAAGCTTCTGTCGGCTTGAACCGGGCTCTTTTCAGACCACCGAATTCAATAGAACAAACTTTATCTAAAAACAACAATAGTGGAAATCACAAAGATCCTAGTAGGAGCATTGTAAAAAGGTACATTACCAACGGAGAAAAGCGGGCCAGAGGAGAATGCAGAGCCAAAGAGAGGATGCAGGGCTTCAGAAAACGGGCGAAAGGGGATTTAGAAACGGGCGAGAGAGAACTGAAAAACAAAAATTAAAAACAAGATCATCATACCTCCAGGGGCCTTTATATGGGATCAGGACGTGGTATCAACGATATGATCGGCTTATTTGATAAGAGTGATGGGTGGACGTGTGATAACGTGATAGTCCTGCGGTGTCGTCAACGTATTAAGGGATCATATCATAAGACTTGCTCAGCAGTGGACGCCGAGACTTGACCACGTGGCGTGACACTCCCACCGATCTTTTAAAAACGACGTCGTCAGAAGAGCT